GTGTGTGTGTGTGTGTGTGTGTTGGGGAAGGAGGTGGTGTTTTTCTAGAAATCAACTCCCTACGTACAAAGTATAGGAAATACAAAATCAAATGGTCCAATATCCAAGGTGCTGAAACCAAAGCAACAAAGTAGGAAGTAGCAGAGGACACTACTAAGTGTTGGATATCTCCCTGGGCAACATGATGCCAGTAAAGAATCCCCAGGGCAAGGGGAAGGCTGAGGATACATAGATGAGACTCTCAGTTGCTTCAACTTGCAATATTGAGGTTCAGTGAAAATGTAAGTGTAAAAAGAGATCTGAGGTGGGGACCAGAGATCCAGAAAAAAGGACAATCAGAAGCATCTTCCATAAACAGGTGAGTGTTCCATAGGGAAGCTGCAGCCCAAACTCACAGAAGCAGTACTCCAGGCGAAGAGAGATCACAGGCCCATGTGGTGACTGGGCATCCAGTCAGATCCCTACAATACGTGACACTAATATGAAAAACGGAGGTTCTGTCTTGGTACTGCCACTTCTTTGTTATGCATGTTACATAGCGTCTATGTGCTTTAATGCCTTAACATGTACAATAAGAATAACTTAATTGCTCCTTCCTCATAATTGTATATGAGCAATAAGTGAATAACCCTATACATTTTATGATAGTGTCTGGCAGATAATATATGCTTCACACATGAAAAGATACTCAGCATCACTAATCATCAGGGAAATGCAAATTGAACCACAATGAGAAATCACCTTATACCTGTCAGAATGGCTTGTCGTCAAAAAGGCAAGAAATAACAAGAGTTTGCAAGGATGTGGAGAAAAGGGAACCCTCCTACACTGTTTGGGGATTGTATATTGGCACAGCCACTTTGGAAAACAATATGAGGGTTCCTCAAAAAATTAAAACTAGAACTAACAGATGATCCAGCAACTCCATTCCTGGGTATATATTCGAAGAAAACGAAAACACTAATTTGAAATCATACATGCACCCTAATGTTCATAGCAGCACTATTTATAATAGCCAAGATATGCAAGCAGCCTAAATGTCCATCAACAGATGACTGGATAAAGATGTGGTGTGTATATATATGTATTATATGTATAATATATATATATATACACACACATACATACATACACACACGCACGCACACACACACACACATACACACACACACAAATAAAATATTTCTCGGCCATAAAAAAGAATGACATTTTGCTATTTGCAACAACATGGATGGACCTGGAGGGTATTATGCTTAGTGAAATAAGTCAGAGAAAGCCAAATAGTGTATATTTTCACTTATGTGTGGAATCTAAAAAATAAAACAAATTAGTGAATATATCAAAGCAGAAACAGACTCACAGATACAGAGAACAAACTATTGGTTATCAAAAGGGAGAGGGTTGGGGGAAGGAGAAAAATAGGTAAAAGAGATTAAAAGGTACAAACCATTAGGTATAAAATAAATTAGATAGAAGGATATAATGTACAGCACAAGGAATATAACCAATATTTTATAATAATCTCATATAATCTATAATATACTGAATCACTAATAATTAGCAAAAATAAACTATCATTTTTTATTACGGCTATCACTATGTGATTCTCCTTTCCCTGGAGTTTCATGCAGTGAGTGTACTGGTTAACAAAATTTGGGTGATTCCATTAAAAATAAACATGTAAAATAATACTGAAGCTTGGCTGACTTATTGGAACCAACATGCAATGTTAAGCCTAGTAATTAAATAATTATTTTTTCTTTATTTGCTGTGGTGTCTAGTTTTATTATTTTGGTTATATGAAAGTCTAATTTTGACTTTCATACGAGGACTTTAGCAATTCTCTCTAAAGGGAAAAGAAAAGCTTTTGGTGATGCCATTACCAACAGTTGCTTTTTCTGATTTTTATTCCTTCCTTTATAATCCATAATACTTTTTTTTTATTCATTCAGTGCAATTTGGTTAAAATTCTTTTTCCTTCTTCCCACTTGCTCCCAAAAATGCCTTTGCTATTAAACTCATTTTGTAAATGTGGTATATTGGTATGAGTTTCCTTCACAGTTTTTATGATGCTGACACCAGCAAAAGCTAAGAGGAGATTGAAACTCTTGGGGCTTTATGTGACTTTGATGATAGATATTTTTAAGGCTCTCTTTTCTGCTGTCTGAATTTGAGCAGTGTAGCATTCCCCACCCCACCCCCAATGTATAAAATAACTTTCCTGCAATGTTAAGGAAAGAAGCAATGATTAGAAAGATTAAGCAGACACCCTGGCTCTGCGATAGGAAGGCCTAAGGAAAACAAAACGCACAACTTAAATTTAGCAAGGATATTTCAGGGCTCTTGAATGTTTTTGTCAATGATTATTTGGATAATAAATACTTTATTTTCTCTTATAACAAAGCCAGGTCGGCTTCTGAGTTAGATAGTGTGGTAAACAATGAAGAAGAATTTTTAAACATTTTTTGCTTTCTTAAGGATTGTAAAAAGGAAAATGACATATACATCTTTGCATATATTTAGTCTGAAGCCATACTACAGAAGGCTAGTATTTGGAGTAATAAGGGATTCCTAGAAAAGGAGGAAGACCAGGAGAGAATTATGGTGAAGAGGTAGGCTAACTAATTTATGCAATAAGGAAACCATAATATTTAGCAATGACACTCATATTTTCAAAACTGTATTCCTCTTATGCCTATCCTCTCTCTTCTTTCTGAATATTAGTCATGTACATTTGTTTATGTGCTGATTTAAAATTCTTTCGTTTATTTACAAGAATCCCCCTCCCCTCCCCCACCTTTTCCCTACCCACCCAGTCCACTCGGATGTATTGCATGCCTGTGAATTATACCCCAAGTGTGACAGACGATGACTATTTAGAGGATGCCAAGTAGCGGTTGCCCTAGCAACAATAACCAGGGGATGCTTCTCAGAACTTCTGCCTGCTCTCTTCCTCCATCATTTTCCCTGTTATGAGAGTTAGATAACATGGTTACCGGAATTGGTTGAAGCTGCTTCCTACTCCCCGACCCAGCATAGTGAAAGAGAGAAGGCTTAGAAATGTCTGCTTTTTACTTACTATCGAGGGAAATTCAGCATGTCTATGCCGTCAAGACTGAAAAGAGGGGCACTCTTAGGAAGAAAAGAGCTGGGTGCTCTCATACTAATAAGTGCTCGATGGTGGGAGAATTGATTGTCAGAACTGCTACTGCGAACCACTTGTGAGGAATGAAAAAAACCATTGTTGAATTTCCACACGTGGGCTAAAAGAACAGTATGTAAATTGGATTGCAAGATGCTATGGTCTGTGAGTGGAAATTTCTGGTTTGTTCTGAATCTGATATAGCAGATTTAATTTTACTTTCTTTGTCAAATGAAGAAAATCTAAAAAAAAAAAAAGGGAGTGTAATCTAGACAGCAAGATGGAAAACTTTTTTCAATTACCTATGACTTCATTGATATTTACATCTCCTCTCCTAAATAAATATTCAGGTTAAAGCAGACAATGAAGTTTAAGGAAAATTCTGTTTGCTAAGAAAAGCAGAGTGGATTTTGTGAAGCAAAAGGAGCTTAAGCTTCAGGGTCTCCCACTTGCAAAGGCCCCTTTGAAGGCCCTGTATCTCAATTTGCATTTGTACATATATTACTTTTATTCCTAAAAAGCCACTCCCTGATTGTATACTCTTTAAGATACATAAATTCTGCATCCACTCCTCAAGAGAGGGGGAAATAGAAGTGATTTATTTGTACCATTTTTTATGACATTCAGATTTCTAGTCTTCTATTTCTGTTTTGAGTACCCATGTCTGTTTTTCCCTTTTTCTCTCTTGCTTTGGGGATATTATAGAGCTTTCATGGATCTCAAGTTTGCATATGTTTAAGCAACAATAACAAAAATAATGTAGTTTGTATGCATCAGTGTTCTTTCAAAACCATTTAATAAAACTATGAGTAGAAAATGAAGTGGTCACTAATAGAAGATAAATAGAACACATTGAGTTATTTTAAAATAGTTAATTTATCTGTGAACTGTGTTATTGGGAATGTATTCTATGTTTTTTTGGGGGGAAACATTAGATTTCTGACTGGGAGTTTTTGTATAATCTTAAGAATAAATATAATTAAATAAATGTTTAATGCAGATTTCTTTGGAATTTCTTTTCCATATATTTGAATGAATAGTTTTCATCACGTATATGCCAGTAATATTTGAAGATTCTGTCCCTCAATACCTTAGGGGTTTACTTAAATAAACAGTATTTTATAAATAATACAGTTGAAACTTTCAGTAATTATTTAAACCCAGTAGTTTATGGTAACTCTGGAAGAATTTGGAAAGGTATAGTGAGACTGTAAAGTCCTTGTTCTCCTACTAATTACATTTATCACCATTTAACTTTGATAGAAATACCCAGTTCCTCTTTGAGATAGATGTATTCTCTGAAAGGCCTTTGTTTTAATTTTATATCCCAAGAGCATAGCACCTTGAATCTAACAGAGTCTACCATATATTATTTTAATTGGACTTGATATAATCAATACATTTCTCAAGAACTTTATTCTTGGACCCTGTAGCTTATAGGCTAGTAATATGAATTGCACAGTTGAGACACTATGAGGAATTTTCATTTTTCTAAAAACATTTACATATTTAAAAACACAATGTATTTGCATAATTCAAAATTTACAAGATACAAAAGGAAATATGTTTATTGGAAAAACTCTCCCTACTATTCCACACTCAGAGCTATTTTGGGCATATACAAACAAAAATTTGCACCCTTTTTCTTAGCATAGTATG